CGGTTTTTAAGCGGGAAACCACATTAATGAAAGGAATCAAATTATAAAGTAATGCAAACAATTTCAATATATTTTTATCCATCATGCGAAGTCAGCTCAAGATTTTCCCCATTATATAGGAATCACTGATCGAAAAGGATGAAAAGTATTTTTTACCTTAAACAACGGTGGTGGATTATCGGCAAAGTATCTCGTAAAGGGGAAATGATCCCTAACTGCTTTCGCACTAGGATTTGGATTTGCTTTTGATTGAGCAACATCACTTTCAAATTTTTCCCAACGTGCAAATACCTGAATGATACGCATGACAAATCGCACATTTAAGATGATATGGTAACAAGCGATAAAATTCATAGAATTAATTAGAGATGCTGAGAATTACAGAATAAAATACTTACTTTTAATTAACAAATTACTGAAAAGAGCAGCAACAAAAGATTACAGAGGAATTGTAGTAAAGACCTGATAAAGAAAGAAATATCCAGCAGTTTCGCACGTGTAAGATACGTCACCTCCAACATCGAGAGCTTCTTGCAACTTTTCAACCTCTTATGATAAAGTAGTATCAGTATTCATTTACTAAAAGGAAATCTTAACGTTTAATAAGTAAAATTTAGTTTAAGAAAACAATAGGAAGAAGTTAAATGAATTTCAAAATCAATATTTCCATCACACCATTTTTTACTTTATTTGATCGTTCAATTAATTTGCTTGTTCTTGCATCTTGTTTAAAAACCGAGATTATTACCTCTTTCAAAAGATCAAGCCGTTCCTGCAAGACATAATTTGCACGACCATATATTTACTGAAGTCTTTTTCCGTTTCCAAAGCTTCTTCACCGTGACCTAAACTAAATATGATTCAGATATCAAACTACATCAGGAAAGGGATCTTAATGCAATCTAGAGCGATTTTGAAGGAGTGATACACAACCAGGCGGAAGCTCAACTATTTTATTTCCTGTTTCAGAGATAAAACATTACAAGTGGTTAGTGGATACGAGATCGCACCAAAGAATTACAGTCTTATTTGGAAGATATTAATATGGTAATATGTATACAAATCTATTTTACAACTTTATTACAAGTCTATTTTACAACGATCTATTCTCAGTCAAAAAAATGATCGTGAATGGAAAACAACAACAATTGAAAATATGGAAAGATTATTCATGCAACTGAAAGGGTTGAGAGAGAATCTAGAACATAGAGGCTTATAAATAATTGTCGAAAAAAACTTACCCAAGGATATATATCTTGGTTAAAGTCTATGAACAATAATTAAGGGATAGGTCTTGATCAGTAAGCAAATTAAGATAATTGCTAAGAGAGTTAATGAAGTTGGAGAAAGTCGTAACTCAAAATAAAACTTTTACTAATGAATTCGAGAAGATCCAACTCGATCTACCATAATTCCGAAACGTCATTTGAAAATGAAACGTCGGCTTTAGCTATAATTAAATCCAATGGTGATGACTCAGGAGAAGCAGTTGATATGACGAGATTAGACAGAAAACAGGTTGGGTGGGTACTAACAATCTTCTGTAATAAGGATCAATAGGATAACAAATATAGGAACTATCCAACTTTGAAACAACGACTAGAGTGTTTGAGTGAAATAAGCACCTACCTAAAATGTATGAAATTGGGCGATAACGCAAGGAACTGTAGAATGAAAATGATACTGTGCAAAGGCTCCCACAAATCAACGTTGGCTAACAGATAATATGGGTTCTAATCAAAGGGATAATAAGTAAAGAAAAAGTGGAATCAATGTATATAATGGAATCAGTGTGTATAACTAATTCAGTAATTGGTCAAAAAACCAAGGAAAAAGGATTTTAGCACCGTGTAAAGAACTTAGTATTGTAGTCAATCCAGAAGTTCCGGAAACAGAGTCATAGGCACCAGTGCTATTTGATCAAAGTGCGCAATTGTCATTCGTTTTAAAAGACTTAATCGAGTAAGCTTGCCAGGAACTATAGAAGAAAGGAAAAGGATCACTTCATTCGTCGACAAATTACCGGAAAAATACTACTCCTCAAAAGCGAAGATTGGCGCAAAGATACTAGGGGAATAAATCGTTACTTCTGAAGTACACTTCAAGGATTACTTAGCAAATTGTAAGTGCTGTAGATAAATGATGAGGATGTGTCATTTTTGATGAAATATGATCAATTAAATGGTTCAAAAAGTTAGTGGAAACACTCATCGTCATCGATTATATGAAAATCCATCGAGGGGAGCAAGACGCAAGAACTGAAATCAAGATTTTTCCTTTTCCAAACAAAAGTTGAACCGGTACTGAACGGAACTGGATATGTAAATGATATTAGCAGCATGAATGCAATGTCAGTCGAGACTGCCATAACGTGCAAGACGAGTGTAAATAATAACTATGACATTGATCGGTTTTGGAAGCTGGAACTGATAGGCATTCAGGATCAACCTGATGAAAACAAACAAGTTCTAAAACATTTCAAAAGGGGCATTATCAAATAAGGTAGGTATGAAGTCAGATAGCCATGGGAAGAATCAAAGGGTATGTTATGGAAATCACAAAATCGGGTAGAAAATTCGGAATTGGATGAACGAATCTCTAATATAGTCTAATAATCTAATAATCGAGCCTCTAATATAAAAACAGCATGAGGAGGCATACCAGTCCGAAATAGCACATACACTCTCAGAACTGAGACGAAAATTTTAGACACCAAAGGATCGAACTGAAGTTAAAACGCATTATTAGTAATTGCATAAGTTGTAAACGATGGTCAGCAAAACCATTCAAATTGTCTATCATGTCGATCAAGAGCTTTTGCAAATGTCAATTTGGACAATCTAGATCCTCCTTCAATCAAAATTCAAAAAAATTATCCAAAAGATGAATGCTTTACAACGAAAGCAATATATTTAGAAATAGCAGATAATTTACCTGTGGAAACTTTCCTCCACGTATTAGGATGATTCGTGTCCCAACAGGAATATCCAGAGCAAGTCGTAAGTGATAACGCTGGTCAATTCCAATTAGTCTTTAAAACTATAAAGGGACAGCATACAAAACTAACGAAATTCTTGGCAAAAAAGATGAGCTAGGAGGACATAACTCTAAGATCAGCCTGGAGTGGAGGAATCTATGAACGATTGGTTACACTGACAAAAGGAACTACGAGAAAAACCATCGGAAGGAAGCTACTATGGGAAAAATAATTCATAACTTTAGTCGTGGAGATAGAAGATATCTCCAACACCCGACCACTAACGTATGCCAATTTTGACGACAGTAAGGTAATACGTCCAGTCGATTTCATACAATCCAATACCTCCTTAGTTATACCGACAACTAATGACAATCGGGTAGATACATGCCAAGAATGCTGAACAAGAGGGAACGACTAGTTAAATACCGGATGACCACACTCAAGGCACTCGACACATTTTGGGAATTATGGAAAACAGAGTACTTGACAAGCCTCAGGGAACGAATCCTGAAGAAGCATGTGAATCATAAAGTCACGGAAAATTGCTCATCACGAGTAGGAGAAATTGTATTGTTGGATGGACCTGAAACTCCTCGAGGTCTTTGGAAATTAGCAAACACAAAGGAACTTAAAAAAGAGAAGGATGGAATTGCAAGAGCTGCATTAATAGAAATGCCATATGGAAAACTTCTCACAAGGCCAATAAACATATTATATTCTTTCGAGGCTGACATCAAGATTGAGATAGAAAGAAAAGACTAAAAATAATTCTGAGAACGTTGAAGAATCTACTGCACTGAAAATACGAGGGGCAAATAAAACTAAGGAACCTTCTTCCTGCAGGCGTTGATCTCCTCCAGTCAGGAGTATCAGATTAACGAAATTAAGATTACGTTCAAATAAAATTTCGACGATACCTACCAAACAGAATAATTAAAACCTTTAAAATTAAGACAATAAGGACGATATAAGCTAACAATGGAGAGAATATTACAAAATCTTCTCAGTACCTATTCCTGTTGCTGCACAATGGATCATACCAAATGTCAATCATACCTCTATGATAACATCGATAGAGCATATAAAAGCTCCTATCTTAATCCTAGATTTATATATAAGGGAAAAATCTTACACAGGCAGTTTGCACAATCAAACAGATCAGACATTCTCTTCACCTATTCCGTCACCATCGTACGACGAACTACGATAATCCTTCCTTTCGTTAAATAGATACTTTACCTGCAACATCTCAACAAAAGATGAACCCTTCTATCTTAATGATTACGGTATCTATTCAAGAAGCGACGATAACTACTACCGAAGACTATGATAAGGAATTTAACAGTTAAAATCAATCATATTACTTGTTTATTACGTAATCCACTTTATCATCATTTCAAATTTATCCTGTGCTTTATATTAGTTTTTTCTTTTCTTTTTTTTTTTACTATTATTAACCAGTAATTGTATAAGTGCAATACTACAACCCGAATAAAACTATGTCTCCAACAAATGACATCAACAGATCAGTTTCCTCGAAAGTACCTATACGTGCACATATCCAGCACTTCACTTCTGTTCATTTATAACGAAATTCAAATTACTGAGTAAATCTTCAACTAAACCAAATTCGAATTTCATTACTTTCTTCACAAAAGCTACATTTCTGAAAAACTTATTTTCCCAATTGTTTAATTATGAATAATTAAATGCTTAACAAAAAATGATAAGAAAGTAATGTTGGCAAAATAAAATTGTGCAAAATAGAATAAGAAAAAGAAAAGAGAAAAAGTGATTTAGCAGTTTCGTAAGTAAGACTTGGTCGTATTGCTGAATAAAGCTAAAGCTTCCTTCATACAACTTTAACTGGTATAGAAATTTAATTAGCAAGAACAATTAGCGAAATTTGGTTGGCAAAGGCGTTGGGTAGAATTGAGTATGCTGTGGAATTTGGTATGCAAAAAAATTTGATTATAGGTTTAATAGATTTTACAACTTACCTCTTGTTGGACTATATTCGGAATTCAGGCACCGTTTTTTTCGGGATTCGTTGGTTAAGAGGTATGCTTTATGTTAATTACAATTTTATACGGGTAGTAAAAATATTTAATAAAATAATTCAAATTTATATATCGTTTATGCAAATTTAATCAAACTTTAAACGTATTTAACATATCGTTCCGAGTTTTGATATCAGATTTAACAATTCATTGATAAGGATAGCCGGTTGTTGTTTCTAGCATGTCATCGGCTATAATAAGATTTTCTAAAAACAAAGGCAAAATTTCGACAAATGGTGAACGACAAAAAATTAATTTGGTGTACCTTGATCAGGTAACAAAATGCAGATTTTTTTTCATCCCCTATGATAAAATTGAAGGTCTATGAGGAAAGGCTTAATTTGATTTCACGACAAGAATTTTATGATTATCACCTTCTCCTTCTACTCCCAAAACAATTTGATGGGGAAAATTCGTTGTGAATAAGTAATTGCTAAGATAAGAGTCAACTTAATATGAAGTAGAAAAAGCTGAACTGTCAGTATTCTACTAAATATAAAATATGATGAAGTTAAGGTGAAATTAAATTGAATTCAAGCCGCTGAGTCATTAAAAAAAAAGTTGAAACTCGGATCAAAAATTAAAATTGAAATTCAAATCATTGTTAGTAAAATAGTGGAGCAAAAATATCAGAAACTCGAGAAGATTAATTGCATTTTGGCAAGAAAATAAAACGATGATTATTAGATTTAAATAGCCTTACTGAGGAATTATTTGATTATATTTACAGACGTACGTATGTTTCGACGTGGAACAACTGACAAATGCAAAACTGGGATTGAAGTTAAAACGTTGCGAAGGCGTACAGGATGATATTGCATGGCGTGTACGAACAAACGTACCCACTCAATATCTAATTAACCCATCCAGAGGTTTCATCCAGAACGATGAACCTATCACGGTAATTAAAATATTAATGGATGACGTTACCTTCAATATTTCTTCCAACAGTTTAAACTATTTTGGAATAAAATACAGAATGAATAGTAAATTTAAATAACGATGGTTATTTGTCATACTTATTTGAATGTTTCAATTGTCGTTTAAATATGAATGTTCGTATAGTCTAATTAGCTACTATGTATAAATATTCATGTTTAATTCGAAATTGAATACTAAAAGTGCATACATATGAATACTAATGCTCCATTAACTCTTTAGCTACCGTTTTTCAACGATGTTTTTCAATGATATGTAGTTAATGCAATTAAAACAAAAGGGAAATTGTAGTTGACAATCGAATTGGTGGACAACAAATTCCATCCCAATCATAAATTAACGCTTCAAGCGATAGCAATGGTTGATGGATGCAATGAGAGAACAATTTGGAAGCATGAAAATGCTAAAAATCGAAGTAAAGTACAAGTGATACGGTTGAAATTAAGTACTGTACCGATGAATATCGAAATGTCCAAATATGAGGTTGTTAATTTTACTGGAGTTTTTTTTTTTGTCAAAGAAACTATTCCAGTCATATAAAGCTACAATCATAATTACACTAATATTGAAACATTAGATCACTATTAATCATATCACTGATAACAGAAGATACATGTTTATTAAGTCATATGGTGCAGATAATATGTTTAAGCAAAAATTTTGATCGAAATTTTTTTCAAGAGAAGTAATAATGGAGTTGGAAAGATATTTTAGGAAGATCATATTCCAGAATGTTCTTAAAAATTTTCGTTAAATTTTAGCAAAACCTTAGTTCTTTTCTGTGATTAACAGTAACTTTAATTATGAAGGGAAAGAAATAGAAAATAGAAAAAGTTTCACTAATAGAATTTAGGGAGAAAATACCGCTATGGGAACAGAAAATTTGCGAAATCTCATAGAACATAGTTCATCTACTGGATTAGGACGTATCAAAGAACTGGAAAAATTGTTGAAGACTTTGGAAGAGGATTTCAATAATATTCGAAAAAATGCCGATCGAACGAAACGTTTAAGGACAGCTTTGGAACAAGCCTTAGATTCACGGTAATTAAATGAATTTAACCTAAGAACTAATTGAGTTTAACATGAAAAACATGAGAAAATCATGGGAAAATATCAAAAGAAAAGCCAACATACCATAAATAATTTTGGTACTTGAAGAATTTAAATCAGTTTCGAAAATTATCTTAATATTTCCAAATCTTGATAAAGCTTTCAATTCATTTGCAGCAAATTAAGCCTGGTTGAATTGAAGCGCCGAGAAATGGAAGTTAGCCAGGAAACGAAAAAATTGAAAAAAGAACTTGAGGAAAAAGAAGCGGAACTGCAAGTTGCGCAACAGATACAAACAAATATCTTGGCTCATCCAACATGTCGAATTTCTTAAATTACCAATATGGTTGCAATGCTTCCAATCAATACTGAATATATTTGAATATGAGCGAAATTAAAATTAAATAGAATTATTAATTTCAATAAAATCACTTATAGTAAAATTTATCTGCTACATTGTCATATGGTATTAATGTCATATGATTTACTAAAAAAGTGTCATGAAAAATACTTCACGATATAAACCATCAAACTGTAAGAGTTCCTCTTAATTTTTCCACGGCGAATTTATCTCACATAGCGTAAGAAAAGAATTACAATTGCAACATTGATTCTTTAATCATTTGTTTATCTTGTCCCAAAATATTTTTCACAATTAAGTTAAACATGATCATAAGCTGATTAATTGGATTTTTTTTTGCTGAAAACAGTAGGTTTGATAAACATCTATGACATTGATTTATCACGTATAAGATACGCTTAAATAATCGGTTCTTCCCCTTCTTCATCAATCGTTGGTTCATCGTTCGTCTCATAAAGCTTGCATTTATTCTCTTTAATTCGAACATGCAAATTTGAATATGTCACAGCATTGAGCGGTTTTTCATCGTCCATTTCATGAACAGATTTAATCTCTTCTGCTGCCTTTTCCATTTCCATTTTCTTTTCCTATAAATAAACAAATTTCCTTTACAGAAGTATTTTTCTTGGATAATATATATATATCCATCAACTTCATTTACTCATCAAATTAGGCTAATCATTTGTTAAGGAAATAAGGATGATAAATATCAATGAATACCTTACGAACTTCATCAATATTACCCATATTTTTAACTTTTTTCATCGATATAATATCCGCTTTGCTGTAATTAAAATAATTTAATTCATCATTCAATTCTTTGAGGAGATAACAAATTTGGATGATATTGCAAAATTGGACTAAAAACTGTTCAAATCAAAACTTATGTCAAAAGATAACATTACCAGCAATGGCATCATTTTTTTTTTTCTTCTATAAAAAAGTTTGCAAACATTACTGGAA